TGGCTGTCGGTATCACTTTTGCTTCTCTGCAGGGGTGTAAGTCAGCCAGCCTCAGCCCTTCTGGATCGTAATCTCTCACCAGCTGCTTGTTTTCAGTTGTTTCTTCAGCAGTGTTTAACCATGTGCAAGTCTTCAGTGGACAGACATGGATTCCCTTATACTGACAGCTTCCTTGAAAGGAGTGTGTCTGGCAGGAAAGAAACGCAGGAGCTGCTGGAGTAACATTTTGAAACCTTCTTAGCAGCATTTGCCAGAGTTCATGTGTTATTCCTTCTTATTCTTTGTTCAAGATCATTTCAAATTGAACTTGGACAGCCATAGAAATTGCTTTCTCGCATCCTGCGCTTCATACAGTAGCTGATAACCTGCTCCTCCATTCAGGGACACTGCAGGAGGCCGACCACGCTCTGCAAGGCCTTCATACAGACTGAGCAGTCCTTGGAGGAGTTGTGCCTATATGGGCTGGGCTGAGCAAGCTGTTGGGCCAACCATGAAGGTTAATACAGTTCTGAAGGCTTAGTGGTACCTGACTTTCTTCTTTATTTTCCCCAGCCAGTGCTTTTGGACAGCAGCAGTATTCTTCCTGACAGAATCCTACTGATGGATACTTTCTTCCAGATAGTTATCTACCTTGGTGAGGTACAGTGAAATACATTCTCTTTCTCTGTTTGCTCTCCGTCCTTTCTGCCATGCATGCAGACAGTATCACTGTTAGTATAAAATAAGCTGCTTGCAAAGCCCACACTAGCATAATGACATCATATATGTGCTGCCAGTTTTCATGCAATTTCCCCACTGTCCAAGTTAACAAAAAATCCTACTGGAGTCACTAAGGATGTGTTCTGCACTGAGTAACAGCTGTCATGTTAGCTTGGTAATGAAGATGGGCCCTTACCATGGCTGGAAAAGGCCAGAGAAACTTGGAACTGAGCAGGGCAGAGAGCTGCAGTTTGATTTTTCAGATATGTGACATACTTGGTTGCTGGGATTTGACACTTAAATACTGCTGCTTTTAAAGAAATCAGTTACAATTTTTTCCAGTTTTTGCTTTCAAATACTGAATGTTTTTGACAGCTGCTTGTATATTCCTTCCATTGTGACTGAGGTAAGTGCTTAGGTACTGGCCCTTTCTAAACATCCAGATTTTTACCAAATATATCCAAATTATACCATATATATCCAAAGCATTGGCTTTTAAGTGCCTTTTCAGTATGCAGACCTGTAGATCTGTATTTCAGTCCTGTCAGGTTTTGTCAGGGAGCAGCATGCTGCTGTAGCTGGGTAACAGAAATGTCTCACATCCTAAAGTAGCTATGGGATAAGGGAAGAAGAGGAAGCTTGGTTTCCACTTCTTTCTCTGGAAATCTCCCTGTTCTTTCATACCTTTTTTTCCCCCCTCATATCCTTTATAGTCCTGCTTGGGGAGTGGCCCTCATCCAGTTTCTTCTACCTAAATGTGGCATCAGATTGGAGTAGTTTAAATAAACCCATCTTGGTTTATGGTTAAACATTCCTATTACTGAAAACTTTTTGGGAGGCACTTGAACTCTTCCTTTCGTTTTTGAACTAAGCTACTTCACTGATGTTTAACAACTGTTACTAGAATGCTTGAAGTTTGGCAGGATAGTTTGCAGCAGCTCCATTATTAGCTCCTGACTTCACTCCATGTAGGATTTGTTCCCTTTGAGAAGTGAGCAGGGATACCCGATTGACATGAGCAGCAGTTGATCACTTGAGTCAACAATGACAATAAATCTTCCAGAGTTACCTTAAACAGTTTCTACCTACTGTTGCAGAGCAAGACACTCGGCAACTGGGTAAAATTGAGACAAAGGAAGAGCTAAGTGTGTGACCTGCATATGTATAGAACAATTGCTAGGTACTTATGGTTAGGTACCTTGAAAATACTGTAAGGCAATGGCTGCTTAATTTAAGACCAAGTCAGATTCAAACTGTCAGTAATTTATAAATGCTTTGTGTTTCTATATTGGCACAGGCTGAAACATAAAGTCTTGAAGATCACTTTAAACGAATTGCTCTTGCACTGCACAAACTGCTACCAGCTTTTGTGTTGAGTGCCTGTTCTCAAATTCAGGGACATAAACTCAATAACGTTATTGCCAGAGTAGCGAAACCGTACATTTGCCCTGTGCGCTGTAAGCAGAAGTACACATAACACTCTGCTGCCTTAAGACATGCAAGTTAAAAAGGGGAGGCTTGCAGACATCTCTGCTATTTTTTTCATTTCCTCCCTGTCCTGTCAATAGACTATTGCACAGTGGCAGAAAGCTGGTTACCAAGACATGCCTGAATATGAAAACTTTAAGCACCTACTGCAAGCCCCGCTGGATGACGCTCAGGAAATCTTGCAGACCAGATTCCCGATGCCGCGTTACATCCACACAGAACATGGGGGCAGCCAGGTAAGGAGGTTTATCGAGGCACTCGTTCTCTTGTTGAATAGAGCAAATAGCTGTCTTTCTGCTTTACTAGAAGGATGGTTCTGTAAGTTAAATACAGCGGTAATTTAGCTCTTCAGAGTACAGAGCTTGCATATTTTCTCATGAGCTTTTACTGCAACGTTGTCTTTTAATAAGCCAATCACTTCCTGGATATGCTTTTGAATTCAGGGAATGGAAAAACCTGAAAAAGACAGCTTAAATATCTTTTTATTCCCCAAAGAGGTGGAAAAGAAATGATTTGTCTATGTATCTAAACTTACCCAAGACAGAGAGTGCAATTAGCTCGCTAGGACAGTAAGTTATGCTGAATGATTGACCATCTGTTCCTTTACTTTCTAATGCTGAATGAGGATATAAAATAGTTCCTATTTTTGCTTTTCCTGGGATTGCAGTTGTGCTGTGCTTGTCTGTGCCTGGCTGTTTGTAGCAGCGAAGAGGCAGGAATTGATGCTCCAAAACAAAGATTTGGTATTAATTTTTGATGTGACTGTGTTACACTGGTCCTCCACTGACCTCTTTTTTTAAAAAGTGGATGGGGGCATGCGAGGGACAGTGCTGGTGACATGCCCCACATGTCGTGTGGAACCAGAGCTGGCCTGCCAGGTGAGTGCTGCTTGCTGTAGCACAGCACTCTGTGCCCCTTGGAGACAAGTTGTCTGTGGAGCAGGGCTGTTTCTGGCCTTGAAACCTGTTTAAGTTAAATCAGTTAAATAAGTTAAATTAGTACCTGGCTTGCAAAAGCAGAGGAACGTCACTAGTCATGTATCTAAGGTGGTAAGAAGTCTTGAGGGAGCCAACAGACCTGTCATTTTACAAAACTACTTCTCTAATGTTTTGTCTTAATAGGCCCGGTTCCTCTTGTCTAAAGTGAACCCTTCTCAGACCCACAATAACCTCTACGCATGGGGACAGGTAAGCTATGGAAGAGCTGTAAAATGTACATTTACATGTTTGTCTACACAGTAGCCATTCTGTTTCACTACGTGGCCACAAACCGTGAGCAGGTTACGTTTGTCTTCTATTTCTTACCTAAGAGCTTTTTGCAGACTGGATTTGAAAATCTTACAGTGCTTTGCGGTGCAAGGAAACAAGGTTATTTCTGTGTACCAAAGGATCCGATAATGGAATTACCAGCTGAGACTGCAGTAATTGTAGCATTTTAAAAGACACAACTGATTTCTTAGATTTGTCTGTAAAGCTTAGGCAGGTTAGGTTTTTATTCAACCTGCTTATTCAAGTCCATGGCTGTTGATGAGATAAACAGTACTGGTGGGGAAGCACTAGATGATGAGATGATCAGAATACAGTTTTCAAGCCTGAATGACTAAACTTGTATTCCTGTTCTTGTACTGAATCCCCCCAAATTTTCAGTAAAATCCAGTGGACTTTGGGGCTTTTTCTCAATGGATCCAAGGAATGGCTGTCCAAATAGAGGTGCTGTCACGACAGCTCGGTACCTCAGCAGCTTGATGGCAGGAGATGAGTGATCCCCACAGGGAGCACATTGCCCCTGTGATCTCTCTTCCTGTATCCCAGCTACGCATGGGGCACAGGCAGACCAGAATTTTCTGTGGCAGCTGCTATTGAAAGAAGCAACTAATTTGATGTAGAATATGTTGTTATAGGTTTCAGATGACCTCATGTAGAAATTTATCTTCACCCTTCCCTATAAATATGATTTAAAGCTCTTAGGTCCCAGTCTATTTAATATTATAGAAAAAAGTAACCAGCATATGGATACATATATATTACCTGAGAATAGTAGACTTTCATATCCTCTTTACCTTGTTTGTGTAGAGCTTTGTGCAGTACAATTATTCATGCTTTAGAAAGAAGCGACTTTCTTTTTTCCAGTAGTTCAGATTGCACTAGAGGATTGTGTCAGTGCTGTTGCCAGAGTAGCATCCTTCCACTAGATACTTGTCCTTTGCAGGAAAAAAGGTGGTTGATTTAGCAATTAGTTCAGAGTGCTGACATCTGATTTGCATTCAGTTAGTCGCTGGTGTTAACAACATTATTTTAGGCTCATTCTTACTTTATTTTTCTGCAGGAATCAGGAGCTCCAATCCTGACAGATGATGTTAGTCTCCAGGTATTCATGGACCATCTAAAAAAGCTGGCAGTTTCAAGTGCATCATGACTTTGATCGAGAAGCAAGAACCGAAGAGTTACATTGATCATGTTGATGACAGAAGTGGAGCAATCTATTTACATTTCCTTCTCTCTCTTTTAGACTAAGGTTTTAAAGTATTAAATGAAAGAAATATTCAGGGAGAGTTTTTTACTTGGTTCTTCTAGATATTAATTTATTTGTATTCCTTTTTGTCTATATTCTGTTTACTCCACATTTTTCATACATTGTAATTAGAGCTAAAGGATGTTTTAGCTAATATAGATTTTAAGAGTCTTTAGCTTAATTTTAATGTTGTGTGTTCTTAAAAGGTGTCTTTTAGCAACCAGGGATTGTATTAATGAAAAATAAAACTGGATAAGAGCATTACTCTTTAGTGCTATCCCTAATTTAGCTGTATGGGCAACAGACTTGGCATGCCTCCTTTTCCTTTTTGAAAATGTAACACTGGGGTATGTACATGCTATTGAAAATAATTTCGAGGAGCTCCTAAAGGTAAGGCAGTGCAGAACAAGTATGAGATGGTGGAGAATGCTCTGACAGACCCAGGGAGAGGGCGAGACGTACAACCCATGCTTTGAGAATGACCGCGATGTGCTTAAGTGTTGCCTCTGGCATGCCTCCTTTTCCTTTTTGAAAATGTAACACTGGGGTATGTACATGCTATTGAAAATAATTTCGAGGAGCTCCTAAAGGTAAGGCAGTGCAGAACAAGTATGAGATGGTGGAGAATGCTCTGACAGACCCAGGGAGAGGGCGAGACGTACAACCCATGCTTTGAGAATGACCGCGATGTGCTTAAGTGTTGCCTCTGGGTCAGTGTGAGGCCAAGCCTGAACGTCAGCCCCTCCCTTCTCTCACAGCATTAAGAAGCTTGAAAACCGGCCGTGCTGCTGTTGCCAAGTCGGGCTCTGCACTTGGATAAGACGTTGTCCCGGTGGGCTCCCAGGGCCGGGCTGAATCACCTCACACCCGCTCCACCGCGTCAGTCGGGGAGCTCCCGCGCAACCCGCTCGCCCCTCTTCCTGCCGGGAGCCTCACACCGCGCCCAGGCGCTGGGTTTGCCCGGAGCAGCACAGCTTTAACGTTACGGCGGCAGCAGGCGCCCAGCCCCCGCCGCCATCTTCCGGTTGCTTCGGTC